TACTACGTCATTTCTGACATTCAGCTCCCCTTGTAATTTTTCAAGCTGGGCCTTCAGTGCACTGAAATAGCTTTCCTTATAGAAGACAAAACTGTTAAGGATATTCAACGCAACTATAATCCGAGTAATACCACGTAAATAAAATCTGTACAGTGATGCCTTAGTCCTGTACATGTTAATTTGTGTAGGTAGCAACAACTGCCGATAACAGAGATAATATACAAAACATTACTCATTTTCATCTCGCGCGTTTGCTCCTTCGGTGGCACGTTGCTCTGCTTCACGAAGTTTGCCTTCCAGATCGCGGATAGCATTTTCCCTCTCCTGGCATAGCGCACCCAATCGTTCCGCCCTATAATCATTTTTCTACAGTCTTATTCAGAAAACTCGCTAAGTCCGCTAGACTTCACCTTCCTAGTGTTTGCTCGCTCGCACAGCTGAACATGTGAGAGCACATTCAAACAATTGCGCATATACACACGGATATACACAAACTGTTCCACGTAAATACACACACTTCCACACGCACACACATACACACAAACAAAAACTTTTATGCACATACAAGCACTTTCACACATGCATATGCTTTCACACATACACGCACGCACACTCACACACTTTCACGTATTACTTTCCACGCACACACATTTTTGAGCATTAAGAATCACTTTCACGTATATACACAGACTTTCACATAAAACACACTTTCAGGTGCACACAAATCTACACATTTATGCATGTAAGAGAAAAAGGCTCGCAACACCTCGTCAACCTGCATTTTCTCATCAGTACATTTCAAAAAAAAATTACTCATTTTGCGCCTTCGCTCCTTCGGTGGCGCTTCGTTCCGCTTCATGCAGCTTGTTCGCCAAATCCTGGATGACGCGCTCCTTCTCCTCGCACAGCGCATTTAACTGATCGGCTCTTAAAATGCATCCTTATGCTTTTTACGGAAAAATCACCTATCTTACAGCGCTGACTCACTGAGCATTCACTGTCGGTCAGCAGGGATTAGCTCATCGCTCTAGTGATTCCTTGCTTTTTCAGAGCGAGATACCAAATACTCTACAGCGAATTCTACGATGTGCACCCACCGCTAGCCTTTGTTGTGTATTAAAGCAAACACCTTTCGTTAGCATCAGCAAGCCACTGTCTGTGTTCGCCGAGATTCCACTCCGCATCATTCTTCGCCTTCTCTAAATCACCAAAAAGCTCATTCTTTTCATTCAGCGCCTTTTGCACCTCATCCAGCTGCGCCTTCAGTGCACTACAATGATTTGCGTGAGTCACATTAAGGAATGGGACATACTGGAGCTCTACCAATCGTTACAAATAACATAAAACATTACTCGTTTTCATCTCGCGTAGCTACTCCTTCGGTGGCGCGTTGTTCTGTATCGCGAAGTTTGTCTTCCAGTTCTCGAATGGTATTTTCCTTCTCCTCACACAGCGCAAGCAGGTGCTCAGCCCTGAAATCACATTCCTGTAGTGGAAATGATACTACAGTAAGAGGTTTCAGCAAGCTAGGCGACGAGAAATGGAATAGCCGGGTTGCCGAGGAAGTCTTGTTGATAGCAGCACCA